TCCTGGGCCTCCAGGGTGCGAGGGCACCTGCACAGCTCGGGCGACGTCTGTGCCTCTTACCGTGTCGCGTTCTCTCAGGAGCGCAACCTCAGTGAGGGTGAGGCCCGGGCTCAGGGCTGCTCTCTGGAGCAGGCGACAGAAATGCTGCTTGTGTTCATACCCGTGCCCGGGCATGGTGAGCTGCATGGTGAGCTGCACTGTGGCAGAGCACGCTGTCTGAGGGACAGAGCGTGTGCACACGCATCTCCGGCACACACACGTGTGCACATGGACACAGTGAGAGTCTGTGTGCTAAACCGTTGCCCAGCAGGGCACAGGAACCCCAGGGCTGGAGAAGCCGCACGGCCGAGGGGCGCAGCCTAGGACCACAGGCGTCTGTCCACACGCGGGTAGTGGTGAAGGAGTGCGAACTGGCACCCGTTGGGGTTTCAGCCTTGCTTTGCTCTGTTCTCACTCGCTCCAACGCTGCCTCGTAGCTCTTCCCTCAGCACGGGGTTTGGTGGTGTTTCAGACGGCCCAGCCATCTAGGACGTGAGATCTGGGCACTATGCAAAGGCATTTTTTGCCGAACAACTTTTTCATAATGTAGAAGGTTTATAATTTGTCTTTCCGACATTATATACATTAAAAAATGAAAAGCTTGACAGCAACTGTGACTCCATCTGAAAAGCCCCACCAGCAGCTGGGGTTGGCTCTGGGTGTGCTGTTCAGCTTTCGTCTTGACTCCCACCCATGTCTAAGAAACGGACATCTCTTGACACCAAGTTTATAGTGACGCGGTTCAGTCTGTACTGTGATTAGGTGTGGCTTTTAGAGAAGGTTTTTCCTTTTGTTTAGTGTTTCCTTTCACTTAACTCTGCATCGATGAAGCCTTGGCCAGTTTCTTTCTTTCTTTTCTTTTTTTTGGAGAGATTTTTTGCTATAGGGTGCTTGCGCTCACCAGAAAGACAGAGAGAGACAGAGAGACAGAAAGCGAGAAATCACTCCCAGGGGGGATGGTCACACCACAATCCCTTCTCTTCCATTCTCTTCTCCGGATCTTGGGCACGCACGCACACGCGCCCAGCATGAGTTTAAGCCTCCAGGTCTGGGACTCGAACTGTGGTCGACTACATGGGAGTCCAGCGACATAGCCATTACACCAACTGCTGGTTTCTTGGCCAGTTTTTTTTTTCAGATATGGGAGGGATTGGCATATCTAGGAAACCAGGCCACAGTCCGGGGAAAGCCAAGACAGGCTGTGTGAGCAGGGCAGATGTGGCCAGGCTGGGGCAAGGTGGCTTCCCGGGCAGCGGTCGAGGACCTGCAGGGCTGCAGTGAGGAGGCCTCGGGAGTGCACCTCATGGGAGCGGTGTATGTGGAAATCTAGATGCCAGCTCGCCAACGTCTACGGAAACTGAGCTCCACAGAGACCACCAGGACCCACTTCCATGGCCAAGCTCAGGCTCCTCTACCAAGTAAACTCTTCCCCTGCTTAGTGAAGGATGCAAAGGCTTTGCAGAACTTGACAGCATCCTTCACAGGTGTCCCGGCCCGTGGGACGATTGGGCAGGGTGCCTGAGTGAGAGAGCGGAGGTCTGGAACCGGTGCAGCGTCACAACACGTGAGCGACACAGCTCAAGATGGAATGCTGTCACTCGTTTACTGAGGGCCAGAGAACATTCTTATATACACAGGGTAGGAAGAGGGGGCGGGAATTGTGGCGGACCTGACTGAGGACCTGCCTGAATGAGGAAGTCTCAGCATGAATTGTCTAGTCCTGGGACAAGGATACTTGAAGGTCCTTGTATGAAGGTCATGTCAGCCATTTTGGTGCATGTGGCTCCCCACACACAGGAAAGCCCTGGACGGCGGGGAACAACACTTGGGGAACGACATTTTGGCATGCTCTGCTAGACAAGGCACATTGCCTCTGTGTGGCTGGACCTGGGGGTTGGGTGCTCCCGCAGCACTGGGTATGCTGGGAGGAGAGGGTGAGCCTCTGCCCCTCTGGCCTGCGGGTCCTGTGGCGTGGGTCCACTACCCACACCCTGCTGGCCTGCGACTGTCTGACTTCCACGACCACAGCACACACAGTGGGGTGAACACCCTGTCCTGCTGTCTTGTGAGGAGTGGATTGACCAGGCCACACCACAAATGTGACTCTTAGAGTGTCTCGCTCACTACCAGTGGTCCATGCAGGCCGAAACCTGGCCGAACTCTGCACAGAGACCAGCGCACTGACCCGTCCTCCTTGGAGAACGCACAGGAGCCGTGTGACATTAAGGCTCTGGATGGCCCTAGAGCCGGGGCCCACACGAGCTCGGTCTGTAGTTTCCCCACCAGGTGGTCTGGCCCTGCCCACTGCCGCCATGGGAGCAGGTATGCCGTTCATCCGTCCTGCCCTCCACTGGCCCTGAGAACACTGTCCACCCTCTGCTTTCTGGCCTCACCCTCGAGAGGCCTGGGCGGGTCTGCTGGGTGTGCCAGCCAGCATCGGCAGGAAGCAGCCTGGAAGGAGGGAAGTGAACTCAGGACTCTCCTTCCCTCCCAACCAAGGGTCTGAGGACTGATGGTTCTCAGATGGCGAGGCACCCAGCTTTCCACAGAGGCGTGGACGCAGCAAGGACTGCTTTCCCTGGAGACGCACATGAAGGCCCACGTGGTCACCTGCACAAGCGATGCCCTCCTCATCAACCTGCCGGAGGCACCACCCAGCCTGGGTCTGCGTCGGCACCCCCTTCAGGCCGACGCCCCCCTTTCCTGGGAAGCTCTACCGTGGCCAGAGGGAGGCTGAGGGGGTCTGACCTGTTGGCCTGCTCTCCCCCCCTTTTATTTATTTTTTCGGTAAGATTTATTTTGAACAAAGGGCTCCATAGAAATTAATAACAATGCTCACAGTATACATGCTCACACACACCTTTCTGTGACACACACCTGCCTCAAAGTTCTGCCCAAATGGTCGGCCTTAGTGGCCCGCTCCCTGCTCCTTTCCGGAGCCTGGCTGTTATGAAGTCTGTGGGATTGCGCTTGCCTTCCCCAAATCACAGCTCTGGCCGCGGTCCCTCACTCCTGAGAACTCACCTCCAGTCTCCCTGCCACCGCATCTGGAAAGTCTCTGTGACCCCCTACCCTCCAAAGCGAGGACGATAGGGGGAGAAAGCGTTCCTTAACTTTTTAGCAGCAGCTGACTTTCTGAAGCATCTGTTAAGGCGTGTTCATCTTGCTTAAGGTTCACAGACGGCTTCCCAATTCAGGAGCCTCTGAAGGCTGATCTGGGAACCCCGTCCCAGTCAATGTAATTCCTTAGGAAAATACTTAGAGGTGGCTTTCTATCTGGACAGAATGTCAAGTTTAAGAAAGTTGCAGGGATCAACCCAGGAGCCCACATGGCCTCTGACCCACATCACGCATGTCTCCCTAATATATATGTGTGTGCATCTCTGTGTGCATGTGTGTGCACACATGTGTGCATTGTGTGTATATGTACGTGCATTGTGTGTGTGTTCTTGCATGTGTGTGTACGTGCATATGTATGCATTTGTGTGTGCATGTGCATGCACCGGTGTGTGTGTGCTCACACATCAAATATGCACAGACTATAAATTTGGGGTTTTAGTTAATTTGCGGACTTTTAGAGAACAAGTTATCACCAAACTGGGGTCTGCTAAAATATTTGATGAGGACAACATTCTATCCCATGCTTTTTAATTTCTTTTCATTCCTGATTTTTCCCTGTAAAAAGATTCAACTCCTCCTTCATTTTCTTTGTAAATGCCTAGTGAGCTCCAGGTCACTGTGAGACTGGCGCTGCCTTTTCCCCGTGTCAGGGCGGATGTTCTAGACACGCAGTGCGTCCTCCACTGCGCTGGCATCACGCAGCTGGCCTAGAGTGGTGCCGGGGGTACTGGAGGCCCTCCGTCGGCAGTGGCCTCCTGAGCAACATCACCGTGCGGCCTGGGGGCCACAGAGCAGCGGAACTGGGGACCCAGTCGCTCCTCAGAGCCACGAGCAAGAGTCAGGGCCTCCGTAGCTCTGCCCACACTGCTTTTAACGCTGTAATCCCATCTTTCTCTTGTGTTAAAGTTGAGCTCTTCTATAAATCAAACCCTTATCCCAAACCAAACTCTGCAGATATTTTTAGTTCAACCAAAATCTTAGACATCACTGAAAACACAAGTTCAACCTCCAGAAAAAAGTTTAGAAATTTCTGTAATAAAGTCTCTGGAACATTTTCATTGTTGACACTAGTAACTTCTTTTTAAATACCAACATATTTCAATCAGAATGTTAAGATTCACAGATGTAAACTTAATGAGTCAAAAACCTGACTCTTGGCACATACACAGATATTAAATGTTCACAAATATTTAAGGAAAATGAGCTCTCAGGAAAATAAAAAGTCTTATTTATTTTCTGTTTCTGAGCTTAGATTTTCTCTTTGGAACTCCGTACGGCTCAACATGAAAGTGCGGGGTGTGTACAGTGCGTGCTACTCCGCGTGTGAGCACATACTCACGTGTGCACGCCTGAGAACATTGTACTACTACACTTCATGGGCCATCCCCCAGGTACCAAGCTTGCTAATAAATGAAATTTAATAAGCCAAACTAGAACAATATTTTAGTATAAGGTGGACTTTGGAAAGTTCATGAAAAACATTATGTATGAATTTAAACATTTTTTGCACCAAAATAAACTTGTACTTCTATTCCATTTTTTATGAGCCATTGAAGTCCTGTGTTAAGGTGACAAGCTTGTTTTGTCCTAAGTGTTCCGCTATTATAATACTTAAACGAGTTAGCAGTAGTTATGTACTTATGCTGACATGAGTGCAAACAGCCTTTCCATGTATGGGATTTAAAAAAAAGTCAAACATAAGAAATATTTATTGTTATGGCTTATTGTATTATGGAGGACTAAAACCTCCAAGAACTAAAAATAACCTTTGATATTTACATAATAACTACAATTATGTTATGTTCATATTGCATTTAATCCCTAATTGCTTATTTTCTAAAAAGAAAAAGAAAGAAAGAAAAGAAAAAAGTGCAGGAGAGAAAATGAGACAGCCTGTCTGTTGATGCACGCTAACCATTACATGAGGGAGTTAGTAAAATACAGAGTTGGAGCTTATAAGAGATGCGTACCAAAAAACTGCCATTGCTGTCCAGAACACTGTCTGTGGCAGCACCATCCCCAATGCGGAGTGGGTATGACCAGGCGTGGCCGTCGGGCTGGCTTGGCCGGCCGGCTGGCCACAACAATCAACATGTATGTGACGTGCGAGCTGTGCGTGCAGACCTAAGCGGGTTTCGTGACAGAGCATCCCATGAAGTCACCTTATGACAGCTTTTAAACAGAAGAGTCGAAGTGCTGAAATGACTACGCCTTGTCATGGCAAATGGGAGAGGGGGGATTGTGCATGGCTCCGAAACCGACCGACGCTGCTCCTTAGCCATCTGCGATCCGAAAGGTCTCTCAGAGTTCTGTGAGTCCTGGAAGGACTCGGGCCTGCACACCGGGAACAGCACACAGCTCTCTCTAATCCACGCCTGACGCTTTGCCCAGGAAGTTGGCGTTGCCCTCCTGCACGTCTGTCTCCTGGAACCACGGTTTGGAATGTGCTTCTGGCTGGTAGTCCTCCAGAAAGTGGCAGGTGCCAGGAATTTCACTGGGGAAGCTCGGTGGGAGCTCTGCCCGCGACCGAGGGGTGAAGATGAAACCAGGACAGTCTCTGAGTAACCTGCAAGACGGGAACAATGGTATTAGAGCTTCAGCTGACCTGACAGGTCCGCTGAGAACGAGGCAGCGTGACTGGATGAACTTTACTGGGAATGTCTGCGACGCCGTTCCAGGAGCAGCTTCCCGAAGCACAGGTGCAGAGAAGAGTCGTTCACAATGGGCCAACCTGCCAGCGCTCACTCAGAGAGTAGTCAAGGTGGGGTAGCTCTGCATGCTGGTAACTCACATAGTGCCGTCAAAGCCAGAGTAGCGCGCAGCCTAGACGGTGCCACTGTTGCTGCACTTTAAGTTCAAACCTCACTAGGCCACCAGGCTTGGCCTCCATTTTCTTCTCAAACTTCCTGCCAACTGCAGATTTAACGAGGCTTCCCCGGTCTACTGCTCAGGCTGCGCGGGTGAAGACATAGCATAATCTGGGCTCTGAACCCGCTCTGAACCCGCTCTGAACCAGTTCCTGCAGAGAATCGCTTCCTATGTCTGCCTGGCCAGACCGTGACTAGCTGGGACACACAGTCCTCGTAAACACATCGGCTCTACCAGCTTTTCTCGGACTTGCTTGCTATGTGCCTGGATGCTAAACCCACTTTAAGATCAAACCTCACTAGGCCACCAGGCTTGGCCTCCATTTTCTTCTCAAACTTCCTGCCAACTGCAGATTTAACGAGGCTTCCCCGGTCTACTGCTCAGGCTGCGCGGGTGAAGACATAGCATAATCTGGGCTCTGAACCCGCTCTGAACCCGCTCTGAACCAGTTCCTGCAGAGAATCGCTTCCTATGTCTGCCTGGCCAGACCACGCCCTCTGCTCACGCTGCAGCCTCCCGTCTAGGTGACACAGTGACGGGGCAGGGCTTGGTTTGTCATTGGCCCTTTCCATGTCCGCAGACCCTTGGGAAAGTGAGTGGACAGGCCCATGCTGCCCAGCATCAGGGGAATCCACACCACCCTGTTGCCAGCAGGCAACGGCTTGCTGCCTCTGCCATCTGGAAAGGCTCTGGGCTCCCACCCTGAGACCCCCAAGTAACCCACGCACACAAGTGCTCCTGCAGTGAGGTAGGTAGCAGGAGGCACCGACACAGCGTCCGACCTGGAGGGTGGTGGCTGGAGCTTGAAGGACAGAGAGGGAGCCATAAAGCCCATCTCAGAGAGCTGGGAGGCTCATCTGCTTGCTCCAGCACATCTACCAGAGATCTGGAAAGCATTTCTGTTACTGCGAACTCCCCGTTAAAAATGAGATGAAACTCCCACAGCAGATGTCTCTATCCACTGCGGCTGGTTTACTCTCTGATTAAAGGCAGGTAAATCGTAACAAAAAAATCAGATTTTTTTAAAAAAAGTTCATCTATTTACATCTTCTATGAGTGAAAGAGATCTGGAGAGAGAGAGAGAGACATAGAGACATATACACAGAGAGAGACACAGAGAGAGAGAGAGCACCCCAACAAAGTTCTGCTGCTGTGACTCATGCCCAGCCCCAGCAACCCCAGGTTGTGAGCATGCAGGGCAGTGCGGGCTTGTCCACACGCTCTCCCAAGGCTCTGCCAGCCTGGAAGGGGCTAGTACCTGCTGGTTTCCACTCGGAGAGCCTCCTCATTGCCATGTGACAGAGAACCTGCCTGGCCCTTGCCCCTGGCTGCAGGGAGGAGCCGCGACACCAAGTGACACCCCAAGTTCACACATGCGCTGTTCTTTGGGTGCCCCTTGGACCCCATGAGAGGCCATGCTATAGAATGGCTAGAGATGGACAGGCAGAGGGCTGCGCTCTGAGCCTGACCCATGGGGGCAGAGAGGACTGAGGGGCAGAACAACCACGAGAATCACTTAGCCCATGTTTGAATCACCTGTGTCTACACAGCAGAGCCAGTAAGGCACAGGACACCAAAGCCAAAGCAGAGCCTGATGGGGCGTCTATTGGCGACCCAGCCAAACTGTGGAGGACACCTCCTGCTATGTACCTGCACCCTGCCAGAGGGCACCTGTCTGACCGCACCTGCACCCCCCAGAGGACACCTGTGTGACCGCGCCTGCACCCCCCAGAGGACGCCTGTCTGACCGCACCTTCACCCCCCAGAGGACGCCTGTCTGACCACACCTGCACCCTGCAGAGGACGCCTGTCTGACTGCACCAGGCGGTCCTGATTCGTGTCCTTCACACTAACTTGACCAGGATAAGCTCAGCACTTCACTGAGTACTCTGAGGCATTCTGGAGAATTATCTGTCTTGAGGTTTCATGGGACCCCCAGTTTTGAAGCTGTTGCATGTCCTGGACAGCGTGTGTGTGGCTCTGCTGGCTTCTGCCTGAGCTCCGGCCCACGCCATGCATGTGCTCATGGTGGCACCGGGTGACCTGGCATGCCCAGCACATTCGTAGGGGCCTGAAGGACAATGATGGTGAAACCTGGTGACTGTGAGGCTCACGCCGGGCGACAGATATCGCTGGGAGGCGCTCGCGGGCTAAGCGCTGTGAAGAGACAGTGAGGGGGGGGGGACGGAACTCTTCCCTGTAAGGCTACCTACGAGGAACACGTGATGGGAATGAGCCGGGTCGTGGGGAAGGGTGGCAAGTGCATGTGATGTGAGCGCAGGCGGGGGCCGCTGCTGTGGTACCTGTAGGTGGTTGGGCTGACATTGATCTTCCGTGGCACGCTGCACGACTCGAATTTGTTAGCCAGAGTGACGTTGTTCCCAAACAGACAGTAACGGGGCATTTTCACGCCCACAACTCCAGCAAAGACAGACCCGGAGTGCAGTCCAATCCGCATCTGAAAGCAAACCCCACACAATGTCCCAGTCACAGGCATGGCGTCCCCTGGCCAGGGCCGTCCGAGTGCCGGGCCCTGAGCTCACCCGCATCAGTCACCGCTTCCACAGAGCCCACTGCTCGTGCACGTTAAAACGTCCTGTGTAGGGCCAGCCTTTGGTGCCAGGGCCCTACATCCACGTGGCTGGCTGACAGTTCAAGTCCAGCCCTCATGGCTTGGAAGAGAAAAACAGACAAACAAACAAACACCGGGCATGTGTGTGGCATGTGCATTTGCCAGAGAAAGAGAAAGCGAGAAATCACCCCCGGAAGGGGTGGCCACAACACATTCCCTTCTCCTCTCTTCTCTCTGGGTTTGGGGCACATGCGCACACACACCCAATGCGACTTTCAAGTTTCCAGGTCCAGGACTTGAACTGTGATCAGTCACGTTGAAGTCCAGTGCCTTAACCAGCATACTACCTGTTGACCCCAGACTCTCTGACTTTTATGTAACCTGCTCTCTCCATCCCTAGGAGATGCTTCCCAAACAACACTGACAGAAAAGGACAGAGAGGCTGGCCAGGTTTTTTGTTTTTTTTTTTTTTTTGGGGGGGGGAGGTTTTTGCTATAGGGTGCGTGCGCTC